GAGTGAAAGGGAAGAGGGCGAAAAGTGCCACTGGAGATAATTGATTAGCTCCCAATCAATGAGAACTTGTTAGTAATCGTCAACTGTGTGGACCTCGCCATTTTCAGGGAGGCTCCGGTCCGGACTGGCTGCTCCCTGGGACCCTCATCATTGCGCTTATCCCACTTTGGAATAACATCTATTTTTCTCATTTGATTTCACGTTTCAACTGTTATGTGACTTTGCGTCCAAGTGGCGTCTTTTTTCAACTTTATTTTCCGGAATTCTTCGATTGTAACAAATCCTCAACATCCAATGATGACATCCAAAGAAGTGGCCAAATGTGATGCGGGGGAGAACAGGAGGCGCAGTCCTCTGGACCACTTGCCGCCTCCCGCCAACTCCAACAAGCCCCTGACTCCGTTCAGCATCGAGGATATCCTCAACAAACCCTCCGTGAAGCGCAGCTACGCGATCTGCGGCACCGCGCACCTCATCTCCAGCTCCGAGAAGCACCGCTCCTCCGGCCTCCCCCTGTCCAGCCGCGCACTCCTCACCCAGACCTCCCCCCTGTGCGCACTGGAGGAGCTGGCCAGCAAGACATTCAAAGGACTGGAGGTCAGCGTGCTGCAGGCCGCTGAAGGTAAACGCCTTATCTTTAAATGCAATTTGCTCGTTATTATGATAGGTGTTTGTCAACTTGAGATTATCAGTAAAGTCATAATCAAAGAAGGCTATGCTATGCTATTTGTTCTGTTTAATTGATTTTTAGGTTTTTAATTTGAAGGAATTTTCATAAAGGCCTATTATGTGTTCTATTTCTTTAATGATTTCAAAATGATACTTTTACGCACACACACTCCTGCGTCTGCACCTGTTTCTCATCCAGCTCCAAACTCTCGTTTACAGGTCGGGACGGGATGACTTTATTCGGACAGAGATCAACTCCAAAGAAGCGAAGGAAATCCCGGACTGCGTTCACCAACCATCAGATCTATGAGCTCGAGAAGAGGTTTTTGTATCAGAAGTATCTGTCTCCGGCGGATCGGGACCAGATCGCGCAGCAGCTCGGCTTGACGAACGCACAGGTGATCACGTGGTTTCAGAACCGCCGGGCGAAGCTAAAGAGAGACCTGGAGGAGATGAAGGCCGACGTGGAGTCTGCTAAAGCCGTAGGCCAGGTTCCTTTGGACAAACTGGCCAAGCTGGCGGACTTGGAAAAATGCGCTAACGGCACGTTAGGCCACCCGCGCATGGACTCCCCGACGCGCGTCCAGCATGAGCTCGAGCTGGCACAGAAACTGCGGACGTCGCCGCTGTCGCCCTTCTCAGACCACACAACAAGTAAAGAGTGCTCAGAGGACGAGGACGTAGAGATTGATGTGGATGACTGATGCGCAGCACGCTGGACACAGAGACGGTGTGAACTCATCCTGCCGACTTGTATCTTACTGCTTATATTCTACCATATCTCCGACGTGTACCAAAATGTATTGACTTTTATTGTCACATAGACTTATTCATAGTGACGCATGAACAGAGAAATATGCAGTGGTCTTTCACAATATCCGTTAGCCTATCAAAGCAATATCCTTATTTTTTTTATTTTTCTACTTGATGTGCCCCTCACGCACAGCTCACACTCCTCACGCCGCCTTTAGTGCTCCGTTTGTTATGTTGGCATGTGAATGCATGATTTGCTTTGTGCTCCTATATATTTATTTTATTAATTTAAGCTTTGTTTCAGTCTTGACTTGAACTTGCTATTTCTTCTGCTCATCTCTGTCTCCAATAGAAAACCATGAGCGAAAGGAAATTGACCATTTTCATTTAGGTTGACATTATTTTATTTGTTCGTTGTTATTTTTTCAAAACGAGAGAAATTGCTGGAAACAATTATATTTTTCCCCTTATATTATTATTATTTACCCCCTTAGTTTAGTAGATCGATTTGTATATTTGTTTTGTACACCTGTAAGTGCCTTTCCGAAATCAGGACATTATTTGAAAACCAATGCACAGACTGTAATGTATATAGGCTACATATGGGAATAAAATGGATTTTCTCAATATTTCTTTATGATGTTTCCTTGAATGTATTTTTGAATTGTCAAAGTCTGCAGCATGCGCTCTGTGCCGAACGGTGCGGCTGGCAGATAAAGGCACTCCGTGTGAATGTGCTATACTGCCTTTGTGTCCTCTTTATACAGGGATGCTCTGGACATTTAGTTGCCTGGAATCTCACTCGCTCTTTCACGCCCAACATGCGTGTCGTGCCTTATTGACCCTTAGACGTGTTTCCCATTCGTGGTAAAAATTTATGTGAGAAACACAAATCTGGTCCCGGGGAAAAGGAGAAGGATGGCACAAAAAACACAAAGTTTTGGGCCAGTTTCTCCCTGCCTTTATAGAGCTTTTTGTTCTGTGGGACTGGGCCGTAATTTTGAGCGTAAAGCATGAAAAGTGGGGACAAATGAGCAGCGTTCCCTGATGGGACGCGCCACAAAGGACCAGGGCCGCTCCCCCGCAGGCAGCAATACTGAGACAAGTGTGTCCCACCGCACAAAAAGGACGCAAACGTTTGGAGGCCATATGGTTTTTGAAATTTCCTCACAATTTCAGACAATTTGATGGATTGAGTTAACCCTCCTTTTAAACTGTTTAACTGAGTGCGAACAAAGGCCATAATGCCTACATAGACTCTCCCCTCACGAGGGCATCTGCGGCTATTAATGTCTAGCCCCTTTCTTTGCTGGCGTTTTGAACAAGTCAATGAATTACAATGAAACTGCCCCCTTTTTGTGCGAAGCTTTTTAGTTAGAATAATATGTTTGACTGCTGTCCAAGAAAGGCTTCCAAACAAGAAATGGATTTTGTTGCAAGCGTTTTTAATGTTAAGTAGGGAGCCATAAAGAGTTTGGACGGTGACATTTTGCCAAAGCCTGGTTAGAAGCCCCTTTGTTTGTTTTCTTCTCCTCTGCGTCTTTATATCTTTTGTCTTTGAGGAGTTTAATGAAGCTGAAAACATGGCCAAGGAGCTCAAAGGCGTTTAACGCTCTTTGTTCCAAGAAATGATAAGTGGCCTGTCTGCTTCTGACTTGTTTTATTATGTGCTTTTTCAGTAGTTTGACAAAAATCAAAGTTCTTTGGGCACAGATCCAAATTCACATATTAGCCCATACAAAGTTACACAAGTGTAATCTATTCAGAAAGAAAGTACAGCACCAATAATTGTGAGTATGTTTAATTTAAAAAAAATGTCTGGTCTACAATTAATTATCAATCTTGAAATAAGCATTTTAACACACTCAGCCAATGGGCTTAACCCTTTAATGTTCACTCCTTGAAGAAAGCAATGTGTCTTTTTTCTTCCCTGGATTTTCTAAGATAGAAGCACCAATAACACAAATACGTTTTTTCTGGGGTTTTTTGTATTTATTTATTTAATCATAGGCCTTTACCAAATGGTTGGTGGAGGAATATTTCTGTTGCAAGCATGCTACTTCTAGATAAAAGTGATTTACCAATTGTTTGAAGAAACCTTTAAAGGGTTTAAGACCTGGTGCAAAACCATGTGTAATGTGACTTTGGCCCTGGATCACATCACTGTCGCTGGTCCATGATGCCACATATGGATCCAGTGGCCACTTTATGAGGCCCTCATAATCCCGCAGTCTGAGGAACCACTTGGTGGTAATTAATCTGAAGGTCTTAAGTGTATTTCACTATTTCACTCCAAGATGGGAAAAAATCACTACCCCAATCGTCCGGAAAATTGAAGTTTGATGCATGAGTCCCTACTGAAACAATTGGTACAGCTTGCAGAAATGGCCCCTCCCCTTTTACCTTTTTACCTCCATCACTCCCACGTGCCCGCATTTGTTGTTGTATACAAAATAAAGTCTAAAGAACACACAATACATTCGTATCACAGAAATAGCCAAATAATGATGATGATAAAACAAGACATTCCTTTATTCTTATAGTGAGGAAATTAACAATAATATTAATGACGAGAATAATGATAATAATTTTATTCAGAAAATTGCTTAGAGGCAAATCACACTGTAGATCTAAATAGAGGGAATTGTGGAGTTTAATCATAGCCTTCCTGTGGAGCCAGTTAATACTTCAAACTTCAATTTTACGGGCGATTGAACTAAGCATGTTCCTGACAGAATTGATGTATGTATTAATTTCCTTTAACTGTTGATTAATTAGGCTGTGCTGAAGGCTCGAATGGCACCGTTTGTTCGTGAATTTGCATATTAATTCAATTCAAGTTGATCATTCAAATAATCTATAGGCTCTGTGATGATTTGAGGAACTGCGTGACACTGAAGGCACAGAGCCAGCGTTCATATTGTTCTCTGTTAATCCAAGACTTCATTTTACTTATAAATCTGTCCAGTCGAAGGGAGCGGTTAAATATCATGCATTAAGAACTAAATTAGATTCAACCCCTTAAATTTTGGGTCAGTGTATCCAGCACTCATTTATGTTTTGTATGGAAACTAAATAAATAGACCTAAACATGTTGTAGCCAGTATAAGATACCTCCTAATAATAATCAAATTAAACATTTCTTATTTTTGCTAATATTATCATTATTTAATAGAAGGGAGAAAAACTGGCCAAGTAATTTAACAATCGCTTCGGATTATTTTTTTCTTTATCTTACCCCAACAGAGACACCTGCTGGTAGTTTAAGGTTTCTGTTTTCAGCTTCAATGTCTAATTTTTTCCATTTTAGACAAACCATGCATCCCAAAAACATTGGACAGCATACAGTGACGTGTCTTATGCAATAAGTGTTCCAATATTCCTCAAACGAAGCGAGATAATAGATCAGAAGCACAGATCAGGAAACAGCAGACTTAAAACATGTAGTTGCTCTCTGTCACCAGTAGAAGGCAGCACTGCGCCGCTGTCGCTTTTCATACGTCATCAATGTTGGCGGTATTTTGAAAAGTAGCGCCGTGTGTTTGTTTTCCTCTTGTTCCCCGAAAACGATCTCAAATATGGTGAGCTTTTTAACTCTTTGTGCGTAATATTATGCTAATGGAGGAATAAGAACATAGTTATACATGCCCTTTTCTCTGTTCAGGCGGAGATGGTGTGTTCTTCCCCGGGTACAGTGCTGTCAGAAGCCGCTCATGGAGAGTTGTTGAACCAGTGCGAAGAACAGTTTGCTCAGCTGGAAAAGGTAGTCTAAACAACAATAGTAACCTCTCTAGATAATGGCCTGAGAGACTCGACGAGATGCACGAACTTCTTCAAAAGAAATGGACATACTTCGACTTGATTTTTTTATTATTTTTTTTTATATAAAACAAAAATATATCCCCAGCAGAGGATTGTGCATTAACAACCCTTTGTTTGAGCATTGTTCAAATCATGCCAACATTTTAATTGTTAAAAGTTTTTTTTTCTATTCCAATATTTTACAGCATTAACGTACGAAAGAAAACAAAAACTAACTATGTACATAAAACTGTCATTCTATGATCGTTGGTTTCTCAGGGTTTCAATCAACATTACTGCACGTTTTGAGACTGAAATGTTTGTTGCATACTCCACACCTGTAGATTGGGGAGAAATAATAATATCCTGAATGCTCAAACAACCACACAGACCCATCCTGTTAACAAGGTTCCCCCTTCAGAATACTTTGCTTCTTCCAGTCATACAGTATGTACATAGTATTTTCTCATTCTGTATAAATGGAACGGGGGCATGTCCTTTTAAGAAGTAGTTTCTTCCTTTTAGGGGTATATTTATCATTGTGCAAAAGTGATTAGCTCCCTTTATAGCATTCTTTTATGATGCAGATACAGACAGAAGTAAACTAATCTAATCTAAAATTGCACACACCATTTTACTTTTGCACATGCAGTTTAGCTCCTGGATTGATAAAATTACCCTTTACTGGTATACAGTTATTACTACTACATCCAAACCTCATATTGCCTGTGTTTTTTGCCACAAACACTCACACATGTAAGTCTGTGCTTTTCTGGCTCTAATTATACATACTGTAGGTGTTGAGGTTTAGTTTGAGATAATTTTCACTGAAGAAACTGGTAACCCAAATGACATTTGTTCATCTTTCTAGTTGGATAATCTGTTTGATAAATCTTAACAATGTTGCCATATACGATCTGTTAATATTTACCTTATGTCTCTTTTACAGCTCCAAAATGAGATTATATTGAGTGAACCAAATTGTGCTGAGAATTCTCCGGTGGGTGAGACCTTCCAGAGTTATGATTAACTCTTTCTCCAAATCTTGTCGCTGTTGAGTTTGTAATTTTTGTCTCTCATGATTAGTCTGTAAATAGGCTGATGGCAACGGAAGCTGAGCTCAAGCAGTGGGCCACAATGAAGCCAAATCGTAAGTCCGTCTATCTACACAAAACATGTTAGTTGTGATCATAAGAATTACAGCAACAAATGATTATGAACTATAACCTTTTTGTGTTTTATCTTGTAATGACAATCTATTTTGTATTTCATAGTTCTTTCTGATAACTCTGAGATTCTTCTTCAGACTGGAAAAGAAGAGGTATGCAAATGAATGATCAGATGTGTATCACAAGAACATATTCTTCACGTTACATTTTTGTTCTGCAGATGCTGAAGCTTTGTTCACAACTTCAGATGATTGTTCTTTGTTATGAAGCAAAGAGGGACAAATTAAAAGAAACAAAGGAGCTGTAAGTGCATCTCAGATTCCCAGGAAATGCCTATTTATTATATACTTTGAATTTACAGAGAGGAGAAGTGGCTTGAGGAGAAGAAACAAATGTTGGAAGCTGCTAGTGACCGTGTTGAGCGACTTAAAATGCAAAAAGTGACATTATCTATGCACACGTGAGAATATAAAAAATGGAAAAAAGCTGTCCTTGTGCTGAAAGGTTTTTCTTTAACTTGTATTTTCTTGGTTTAGTACCCTCAAAGAAAACATTCAGAAGATGAAGTTGTATCAGGAAAGGTTAATGGACTCTCTGGGACACATTCTGGAGAAACACGTTCCTCCTCCTCAGCTCGAGAACAAGAAAAAGAAGGTTGTTGAACATAATTTTTGACTCTTCATTTTAAGTTCAGTCCTGAATCTTTACTTATTTTGACAGAATCCCACACAGGAAGTGGAGTTAATTTCACTCAATGAAATACTTGAGGTAACAGCCTAAACACACATTATTTCTACTTGTCTGTAGTTAGTTTGGATATAACAGTCCATACGCCAAACATAGATACTTCTGTAATCACTCAATGTTCATTTCTGTCTTCAGCTTCTCATGAACAAAGTGCTGACGACACCACATGACCCATATGTGGACATAGATGCAACATTCTGGCCTCCGTACATCGAGATGCTCCTTCGTTACGGCATCGCTCTAAGACATCAGGAAAATAACTTCAAGATTCGTCTTGAGCCTTTTTGCTGATTTTTTTACTTTTTTATTTACATTTGTTTTGTAAATACTTTTTTGGGGGATTTATATTATGTTTTTTTGTCAGTGTTTATTACTTTTAATTCTTTACCCACACATATGGATTTGGTTTCTTTTGTTTTGATCATTGTAATGTCTTATGTCTAAACTAATACAGGATTATTTTAAAAAGGCACAGTGTTGTTTAGTTTTTTTTTTAAGTCTAATCCGTTTTTGCTTGTATTTATTAGTCAAAAAATATAGATGTATATGGAATTATCCAAATAAAATCTCATTATGTATTCTATGTTCCGGTTTTGACTATTGATTGGTTTGGCCGATTTGTGTTGTATAAATACCATGGATCTATTAGATAAATACCCTTAGATTTGCCGCTATTGTTTTTAAGAAGCGGTAGATTAGACATAAATATAATAATTACCAAAATACTGCATGTTGCGTTCACGCCACGTCACGAGCGCAGTCCAATCCGCGCGGCCGCTGCGTCAGCTCTGAATCCCGTAGGCGGATAGGGCATTCCGGTTCCGGGTATTCTCACGTCGCACTCGGGAGACGTCCATTCCCTCGATTATGTTATTTTATCCAACATTGGCCTTGGTAAAGCACAGGTTGATATAGAGATCTCCCCAGTACAGACTCCTCGCCCACAGCGCAGACATGACGACCCGCTCGGAAAGAGAGAAGGCTCAGAAACTCAACGAGCAGAACCAGGCCATCCTGTCCAAAATGCTGAGAGAGGATGACAACAAGTACTGTGCCGACTGCGAGGCTAAAGGTGCGGGTTTACAGTGGGTTTGTGTGGGCTTCAGGAGGTCGCCCACAGACCAGATTAAGTTTGATGTTTAACCCATTGTTGTGTAGCATCTTTTAGTGCTAGCCATGCTAAGCTAACTCAGTAGTCAGCTGACACTTCTATCCTTCTGGCTAAACTTCAAGTGGCTAACAAGTCAGCTAACTTTCCTACGGCTCCGAATGCCTCCATCTCTGTAGCTGCCTCCACCAAACACATTAGTGCATTGTAAGTCTGTATAACATGTTTACTGATATAAAGGCAATGGCCAGTAGATAACTAGCTTCATGTGTTTTAAGATGCTATAAGATGTTTAACTTCTCTCTGCTGCAATCAAAGCATACGCCAGAGTCGCTAAAGCTGGAGTACACAACATTTGTTACAACATAAATAGTCGTGTTTAACATTTTAACAACCCAGACCACACCATGATGTCTTTATCGTATGAGACAATAAATACCTTATCTTTTACATACTGAAAGCTGATTGGCTGAGTAAGGGCGGGTACTCTTGCTCCCCAAAAGAGCTGATCTAAAGATTAGACAGAGGCCAAAAAACATGCACGTGAATAAACTAGTGGTAGACGAGCACTAATGTGGCTTCAATGTTAGGTACTACATTATTCGTAGATAATGAAAAGCTTTACTGACTGAAGTTTTGCATATTTTGTTCTTCAGAAATGTATTGTAGAACGTCCACTTTAATTTGAATTACATTATTTATTATTTAACTTTAATTCCGACACACAAAGGGTTTATATTAAAAAAAGACAAGAAAAGAGACAAACGACACACAGGCTTACAATAACATCCCTAACATTTTGCAAGACAGTTGTTAATGTTAATGTTAACACTAATATTTACTGTCTATGGTTAACACGCATGGTTTTAATCATCTACATCATGATGGTTCTTCAAGGTCCAAGATGGGCTTCATGGAACTTGGGAGTTTTCATGTGCATACGATGTGCTGGAATACACAGGAACCTGGGAGTGCACATATCCAGAGTCAAATCCGTCAATTTGGACCAATGGACGTCAGAACAAATTCAGGTAATTCAGGGTTCATGAATAGTGGTTGTAAATGATGTTCCCTCTTCTTTCACACTGCGAGGGCTTCTTTCTCTGAAGTGTTTGGTATAATTTCACCTATTTCTCCTTTTTTAAGAGTATACAAGACATGGGTAACACCAAGGCCAGAAAACTTTATGAGGCCAACCTTCCAGAAAACTTCAGAAGACCTCAGACAGACCAGTATCCTTCTCAAAAAAACAGACTCTCAAAGCAGTAAATAGAGAGCAACCCAAGTCCTTGCTCTCTCTGTGTACTTTATTCTTGTTTTTGTACTTTTCTTAACTCAGACTTCAGAGCCGTGGAATTTTTCATCAGGGATAAATATGAAAAGAAAAAATACTACAGCAAGAATGTGACCAATGGGACCAGTGTAAGTTATGCTGTAAATAATTGTGTCACTTAGATAACAATCCTACCTGATACTTTTTATATATTTTATTCAGCCTAAGGACAATAAGAGAGAAAAGGAGATGGACCGAGGAAAAGTACCTAGCAATAAGGTATCATTTAGGCTTTAACATTATGGCTCTTTTCTGTTATGACTTACTAACATTTGCAGAGGATACTAATTTGTAGAGTGAAGAACCTAAGACAGTTTCAATCAGCCCCGTGAAGCCTGCGGAGCCTTCGGTGAACCTACTCGGCCTTGGTGAGTGTCATTCTTTGGCTTTATGAACAGAGAGGAAAACTTTCTACGTCTGACCTGTTGTTTACACGCTGCTCTTTAAGGGAAGTAGTTAATTCCACATCCTCTTTTCATTGACCATTGATCTAATTCTATTGCTTCACACCAGTATTTACTGCACCCCCCAAGCCTGGGTTGAAGGCCCAATAAATTATTTCTTCTTTTTTTTCAATGACTGCTGGCTAATTATTTATCTGAACAATCTCAAAACTGGCATTTTGGCTGGAATTTCATGGGAAGATGTGATGGTGTACATCTCATATAGTAACAAACATTATTAATATAGCATAGACCGCCTACCAATGATATAATCACTGTCTATATATTTTATACAATTGCTTCCAATGTTTAGCCTACATGAAAACGTGGATCTTAATTAATCTTTGGTGTATGTATGTGTGCTGATTTTCTACATTTTCATTGATTTTGTTAAAAATTCAGCCCAAACCCTTTTGATCTGTAAAAAAATGTTATCTTTGGATGTCAAATACTGCCTTTTTTTGTGACCGAAACAATATAACTGAACTTATACCATGGTCTGTGAGAATTCCAACGCTAACTTCCGTGCATTATTTTCATATTTACACGCACATAGTGTGTAAGTTTAAGATCATGCTCTATATCACTCCGCCACAGTTGTTGCCATAGTAACTTTAACAGCTGGATCAAATAAACTGTCAATTAAATGACACGCCGTAGCGACTAATAGCGCCGGATAACATGGATTTCAAGGTGAATTTTAACATTATCAACGGGAATATCCCATTTGATTTATAGACAGCACGTGTGAGGGTTTCAAAACTAAATAAATATGCTATTTATGTTATGTTTTGCAAGTTTACAATATGAATTGATACCTATTTGGTCTATGTAGATGTTATTGTTTTTTCTGCGTGTTAATAAAAGTAATTCCCATTTCTCTTTGAAAACAAAACTTTTTCCTTAGCAATCGTTGTAGACTTGTTAAATAATCCATATACTTAAAGCATATTTGGCCAGTTCAGTAAAGTCAAAACATTTGTTACACACTTTAATTCACGGGACCATGATATAAGTAGATTAAACAACTCGGAGCCATGCAATATACAGTTATAATGAACGACCCAGAGTCTAGAACACTCCTGTTTAATCCTTACTTAAACTGAAGGAGAATTTGGAAATAAAAAGCCATTGAAAAAACAATTATTATTATATAATTATTCTTATTGGCAACATTCATCCCACTGTTGTGAATGTGAAGAAAATGGTGACGTCTGATTTTGCTATACAGGCGTCCATTTTGTTTGCAGTACTTCAGTGTTGATATTTGACTCCAGTAAAACCCGTTTATCCCCTTTTTATTTTCCCCAGACGCACCAGCATCTTCATCTCCTAACAATGGGAGCTCGAGCACAAGCCAGAACAATGACCTGGATATTTTCGGCCCCATGGTCTCCAACCCCCTCCCTGCCTCCACATCCGCGCCTCAGTTTCCTCAGGTACAACTGCACAGCGTTATGTTTACGTTAGGCCTTTGTTTCGGCTTGCTGTGCTCGCATACGGCTTCTGGTTCATTGCTGCAAACTTTGATATCACCCACTTTTTATTTTATCTAAGTTATCATTTTGAACATTGTCAATTGCATTTCCATTTTGATTTATAAAAAAGCCAGCCATATGAGCCAATTCTTCTTTAGTCTTTGGGTGAGATACCAGATTTTAAAAGCTGTTGCTCAAATCAGGACTTTTCCTCACTCATGATGAAAAGAAACCTTTATTGTAGTAATAAAGGGAAGTGTTTATTACTCCAACCACAGAACTGAGTTATTACAGTGGAGTTTCTTTGTGTATGATTTTCTCAGGTGAGCACCACTAATGTTGCCAGTACCCCAACACAACCTCCAGCGGGAGCAGGAGGTGCTTCTGCGTCAGCTTCTGTCCAGAGTGACCTTGACTTGTTTAGTGATAGCAGCAATGCAGCCAAATCTGAGGATGTGACCAAAAAGCCCCTGTCCAAGGACTCCATCCTGTCGCTGTACGGCACCAACAGCATGCCCCACAACATGCCCCAACAGCCTCCTGCAGGTAACTGCTCCGGTTTTTTATGACCATTTAGCATAATGGCCATTCATATTTTTAAGAGAGCCTGTCTCACAGTGGGGACATTTCAGTGTTGCATCACAGGTTACAGCACACAAACACAATAAGGATTAAAATAATATTAGGAATGGCTCAACTGCTATTTGATTTGTAATGTAATGTAAGAATGGCTCAACTCTATACATGAACATTGAAATCAATTCATTATCCTTGTTTACAAACGGAACGTTGGGTTTTATGAACTGTTATAACCTATAGATATATCTATAAGAAACTAGATTGCAAGAATATTGTATTAATCTTTATGAAAAATAAGTTGTGAGCTTCCTTTTGTAGGTATATTCTGTGTACTGTACATGTAGCATCAATATTAGCAGCATAACGGTATCGGCTAAAAATTACAATGGACATGCATGACCATATTGCACATTGTGACATTATTGCACAGATGAATGACATGTGAGGTCGCCAGTGGTCATCAGTCTTCATTGTTCATTGTACAGTCTGACAGCAGACTGTACCATTTCCCTCAGACGCATAAAATAGAAATTAACCTTTGGCTAAATTCAATCCATGACACATGAAATGTACGAAAAGATAAAGGAGGATTATTAATTTCTAAAAGAGAGTCGGGGAGATAAACTGAATTGTATGAATGTTATACATGGGTTACATGTTTACTCTCTTCTTCTCCTGTAGCTGGAATGTTCATGGGTCCATCCCAGATGCAGTTTCCGGTCCAGGCTGCTGCCGGTTATCAGGCTTTCCAGGGAATGGCAGGAGCCATGCCTCCCACCACAGTTATGGGAGCCATGATGGCTCAAAGCGGAGCGGCCATGATGGGATCTAATCCTGGCATGATGGTTGGCATGACGATGCCCAATGGCTTTATGGGAAATGCTCCTGCTGCCGGAGTTATGGGCATGGCCCCCAGGATGATGGCACCTCAGGGGGGAGCCATGCCTGCGGGCATGGTGCCAGCTCAGGGCATGTACGCCCTGCAGCCCGGACAACAGCCCCAGTGGAACATGGGACAGGTAGGGCACATTACTGCGCTCAATTAAACACACTCTTTAGCCCTGTGTGTCAGTGCTGTTAGAAGTGTTTGTTAACACCGTGCAATATGTGCCCAAGGAGGCTACTCGCCACAAATATGTGGCGTGTCATGAGGCACTACGAACAATACTACACATGGCTTTCATAATCTTGGATTTTTACTGGCTACATAATCTCCATAATGCATTTATAATATTTAGTAATACAGTGACCATGAGAGAATTCAGTCTGACATGGTGTGTCTTCCATTCCCAGATGAACCAGCAGATGTCAGGATTGTCCTTGAACGGGGCGGGTGCTCAGATGGCCTTTGGTCAGCCTCAGACTGCTATGGGAGGCTGGGCCGCTGCTGGATCAGGCCAGACGCTGAGCACACAGCTGTGGAAATGAGCCTCTGTCCAGGGCAGAACAGGTATAGGCTGCAGACACGGGGGAATGGAGCTTCACCTCTGAACTGTGGCCTGTTTACAAGGACCTGCCTTTAAACAAGACAATTGTATCTCTCTTTCCCTTTCTCTGTCTCTCTTTCTCTCTATTGTGTGAGTGAATTGGGAGTCATACAGGAGTATAGCCTGGCAGTCTCTGCCTGTCATATGGTTTTTGATCATAACTTTTATTTTCCATTTTTGGAAAAAATGCTAGGAAACAGTCCCAACAAAGATGATATTGACATATCAGAAAAGCTGCAGGACCAGTTACACAAGCTTTTATTGTATCACTATATCATTATAAGATTATAGAACATTTAAATGAATAATATTTAATGGGAGATAAAGACTTTTAGTCTGTCACTTCAGCTCCCAGATGTACAGCGCTGTATAACCTTCTTTTAAAGTACCTGTGGTTCTTCTTTAAAAATTAAAATTCAAAACAAATGTTTTTCTTTCTATGTGTCTTTTGTATATGACTTAAAGCAGCTTCTTTAGATTGGTGGGTCAAGCAATTGAACTGCATTATAGACTTTGTCCTCCAGGTGGCACTCGTGAGCCAGTAATGCTCAGAGCAGGAGTCATGATCATGCAAAGGGTCTGTAGTGTTGTAGGTTTTGTGTTAGTGGTAGAAATGTATTTGTATAGCCCATTTCATACACAAATCGTAGCTCAATGTGCCCAATACCACCACAGACATTGCATTAAATCACAATAAAAATATTTTCTCGATAGACTCATTGAAAAGTGTTGGAAAGAAAGTTTAAACAAATGAGTCTGGTTTATTCTTTTGATGAGCTCAATGTGGGCACATTAGGTATCATTAGGCAGTCAGTCCCTGTATGTTTCATTCAAACAAAGGTAATGTAGAAGTAAGTCTACGTGAACATAGCTCTCAGCTGCTGCTTCTGTGTGTGGTAAGGTGTGGCCCTTTTGTATCGCTTAAGTTTGTGCACAATCTCACTTTTTGTTACATGATAGATTCCAGCACATCGATGTCAGCCGCAGACACAGCTGCTGCTGCTACTGACATTCTGGTATTTCTCTGCACATGTGTATTTTTTAAGAAATGGTAATCCAACATTTTCTCAACCCAAATATGTTCACCCAAGCAATAAGAATACATACACTATGAAAATCACAGTAACCACAGGAAAAAAACGTTGCACAGTTAGCCCCATATTTATCTTCATTGTATTCATTTAATCTCTGATCATTTGTAGTTGGTCTAGGGTCATTGGTCTAGGGTGCCTATAATCTGTTGTAATCGACAAAACTGTGTAAACTGTGCACATGGGGCTCAGGGTGTGGCACTTGCGACCAGCCCTACCTGTTACATTCTCAGCCGCCAACACCCTGTCACTGCTGCATATTAAAGCAATTACGCAACAGCTCACAGGCAGAAACCGGAGCTGCATATGGATACAACATGTAGAAATGGCTATAAAAGCTGTACGAAAAGGGCAAGCAATCGTTTTTTTGTGCTGAATAACTGGGGGTGTGAGGATGGTCTGAAAACATTAGAAATATGCTTCATTTAGAGCAGGGGTCTACAACCTGTGGCTCGGGAACCCTAACCAGTAGCTTGCCAACCTCTAGACTTTAACAAATGATCTTGAATGAATAAATTTTGAGTCATTACGTATCCATTATAAGTATAAATAAAGAGTTATACAGTATTCAGGTGTATTTTACACGTGTTCTCCATGTTTTGTCATAATTATTAGACAGAATTTTATTACAACTGCAACAAGGAGTAGCTCTCTGCCTCTTTGTTTGTATAAAAGTAGCTCCCCGATTGAAAAATGTTGGAGACCCCTGATTTAGAATGTCACTTGTAAATTCAAAGAACATGCATGGAAAAGTTAATCCTTTCGTTGTCAGAGTTGAGAAGTGAAGCAGACTCTGAAAGAAGAGATACAGGACTACTTAAATCAATAATAAATAAAATAAAAAGATGTTTGGACACGTCTGTGTGATGCTTGCTGTTTTAGAATGTTAACAATTGTAAAGCACTTTGACTCTGTGTGAAAGGCGCAATAAAAATCCTTGCTTACGAGAAAGTGCACTGGATTCAGGAGCTCAAGTAGCAATTCATTTTTGGGGCCTAAAGGGTTAAGTCTCAATTCCAATTTGAAGTTCTCCAAATGAAGAAATTGAGTGCAGCAGTTATTAGCAGTAATGAAGCCCAGGCATTACTCGTCAGCGCTCGTCAATCACAGAGAACCCAATAGTTGCGTTTGCCTTGTCGTTCGCTTTAAAATGACGTATCATTTGTATTATAAGTTACTATGGAAATCTATATTGTTTTTGCTCGAAAAAATCCTTATTTATTTTTATTTATTTTATTATTATTTTTTTTTCTGCGCTTTAAACCTTAATTTGACCCCCTGAACATTGATGAAAAGTTGTGAAATTTTGCCCAAAATTCAGAACTGGCGAAAAATGCAATTTTTTGGTGTTTATTTTTATGGGACTAAAAAAATGCCCGAACAGCGCCCCCTACAAAAGTCAGTTTACATTGCGCCTATGGGAGCGGGTCGCAGGTCAAGTTTGTCGTAGAGCCACGAAATTCGGTACACATGTTCCTCAAGTCAAGACATGAAAAAAAAAGTTATTATGGCTCCGCCCCCTGACAAACAGGGAGCTCATTAATTTCAATGGAAAAATTAAAATTGATATTTTTCCACACATGTCGGTTGGAAATTATCTCCTCCTCGGCCGTTTCATCAATTTGTATCAAAATCGCTCCACATGGTCTAAACACATGTACCATCAATTATTGAATATAGAATTTGGATCAGTTAAACGTTGTCCGAGCAGCGGAGCGGCAAAATGTGACATTATTTTTTCAATTTTTGACAAAAGTAAATTTGCTCCCGTTTGCACAAAAAAAGTCAGATTTGCACAAATTTTTTATCCATTGTTCAGCTCCAGGGTCTAGGTGATTTGAAAGTTGAAATATTGAAATTGGCTCATTAGCGCCCTCTACAGACAATGTTAAAGTTTTACATGGGCTTTTTGAAATTTAGTTTTTTCAAAAAAAAAAAAATTTTGCACATAATTCTGTTTTGTCATCTGGATTCAAAAAGTCAATGACAACATATGATTATTTTTTACCCTGTTGCCGTGGCGACGACCAACACTCCCCTGTCTGTGTCTATGGGAAAATCGTTAAATCTCTGAAAAGTACACCTCGCTCAAACATCAAACCAGCCTCGGCCGTTTCACTAATTTGTCTGAAAATCATTCCACATCGTCTCAACACATGGCCCATCAATAGTTGCATATAGAATTTTAATTAGTCAAACGGTCTCCGCATGACAGACTCCCAAAGTGTGGTTATTTTCATAGAGAGGTGCGAAGTTCCCAGTTTATCCAATGGAGACTGTATGGACACACTCACAGATTGTATGTGCAAACAGGAGCACATTTACAAACTCTGATTTGCACTAAACTTGACTCGGTTGTTCAACTCCTGGGCCTAGGTCACATGACATTGTGAACAATGACATTGGCCCATTAGCGCCCCCTACAGGCTGAGTAAAGGTTTACATGGGGATACAGGTATTTAGGTTTTATGTTGTTTGATCTCATATTAGACCCACATAACAAACATAAAAAATCACCAAACTTTGCCACAAGTTTTTTTTCAGGCATAAAGTGTATTATTTTGGTGTTCTTTGGTATAACACAAAAAAAATTAAATTGTAGGGGGCGCTGTTGTACAACATTAAATGCCACCATTTGCACATACAAAGTCCGATTTGCACAAAATTTGAATTGATTGTTCAACTCTCGGGTTTGGGTAAACTGAAAGTGTAAAAGACAAAATTGCAGCAATAGTGCCCCCTACAGACTGATACAAGTGTTACATGGAGAGACTGGGGTTTACATTTTCAATAGAGACTCACAATTACTGATCATAGGAATTCAAAATGCACAGTGGCGGCACGGTGGCTGAGTGGATAGCACTCTCGCCTCTCAGCAAGAAGGACCTGGGTTCGAATCCCGGTTGGACCAGGGCCTTTCTGAGTGGAGTTTGCATGTTCTCCCCGTGTCTGCGTAGGTTTCCTCCGGGTGCTCCGGTTTCCCCTACCACTAAAAATATGTACAATAGGTCTGGCATGTGCCTCCTGTACTGGCACCACCACTCCCAAAAACAAAAAAAATCACAATTGTAAACCGCTTTGAGACTCCGATGTGCAGTGAAAAGGCGGTATATAAATAAAGATTACTTACACAGTGTCGCTCCCGTCAGGGCAGTGGGAAAATGGCGCGTCAGCGCCATCTCCTTTGCGCGGTGCGGCGAGGGCCGTTAGATGCCGCTTGCGGCTTTAATTTGGTTTACTTTTCTTATGGGACCCTTTTACTGTTGTGCATAGTCTTCCAGAAGTTTTTGTCATAAATATTTCAATATGTTTTTGGTAGTTGACCCTTTATTTTATTGCTAAGAATAGGCTGAAACTTGTGCTGCTGCTTCTACTTCTGTGGTCCACTCACTTCTTCCGTGCCTGGCAGAATCCAAAAAGCCCTTTAACTGTGCCGTACTGTGTTCCACTTTGGGCCTCTCATTTGTTCCTATGCGCAGTTCCTGCTCTATAAACTTTCGCAGTGAGGTCTGATGCCACAGGTTTTTAGCACAGAGACTCAGCATTCCTCTTGGCGTGTTTGTGAAAACCTGACAGTGCCAAGAACAAAGTGAAGAATACTCCTCCTATCGCTCTCCACATTGGCCCCTTATGGACTTTCTGACCCGGCGACACCACATTCCAGCTGATACACACAACCGCCGTGTCTATATAACTCAGTCTTTTGAACAACTTCTGCCAGAGATAGATAAAGCCTCACTGACAAACGGCAGGGCACTTTTAATTGGCTACACAAGAATGAAGCACTGGAACAAGTGCACAAATGTCAAAGAATCATGCTGCAAAAATGCATTCTCTCTTAAAGCTGGGGTGTGTAACTTTCCCCCACACACATGATGGGTTGTTTTAAGATAGATAAGAAAGATGTAAAATTATTAAGATTAAGAGATACTTTTTTCGTCCCTCAGTGGGGAAAGTAACAGAACAGTATAAGGAGGAGCACACAGAATATAAATTGCTAAACAAATTAAAATAAAATCTCTAACTCTAGCATCACTGAAACAAGTATAAAATCTCCGTCTTTACCATAATGAAGTATAAAATCTCTACATTTGGTAAAATAAGAGGCAAGTATAAAGTACTGTGTATTCTAGTGCAAGAAATACAGTTATATGTTAGCATTTGTTCACGTTAGCAGCAGTATGTTTACATCTGTACATGTTAGCAGCGTGAGGGTCTGGGACACAAACCCTCCAAACAAGTCTTATTAGGAACGTTTCACCTTTAGAAAACTTTTTTTACTTGGCTTTATCCAATGTCTGTCCATGGACATACATACAGCTACATATTGTAATAGACAAGCTTTCACTTTTTGGTTTTGAGGAACTTTGGTTTGTTTTCCTTATAGTGTGGAACATACCAGGCAGAGCCATTACAACACAAGTAGTAAAGAAATATATACATCTTTATGATTTAACAATGCATCAGTTTTATATAGTGCTTTTCAGGACACGCTTCACATGTCAATAGTCTCCCACTCCATACACGGTGGTGATAAACTACCTCTGTAGCCACAACTGCCCTGGGGCACACTGACAGAAGCGGAGAAAAACAAGGTGCCATATCCGACCACCAACCAAACCACTCACACACACACCAGAAGCATTCTAGGTAATGTGGGTGACGTATCTTGCCTAAGGACACAACAACAGTTTGGCACTAATTAAAACTCGACAGTTGCTTATGTGGTTTTGTCGTGACCTGAATTGGACCTGTTGCAGTTCTACCTCAGTAGATCCGCTCATCCGCTCAGAGGCAAACTCTTCATGGGAGAGTAGATGAATGACATACAGTATTTCCTAAAATATTTTGTTGGCTGCGACACAAGAACCTCTTAATTACAGTTGTGTATGTGATCACACGCGCACAACATGCCTGAACAACCTGCTCATAACGAGAGATGCTAATGACCGCCTTTGAAGCTAATAACAGTCCTTTTATAGCATTAATCATAATTGCAAACACTTTATTGTGATCCATAGGGGAAAAAAACACTTGCACAATTACTCAGTAGAAGCTTCTGTTCAATACAAGAGGCTTAAACCACTATGTATCCCTATTCTTGTTTATTGCTTCTTTATTTTATACCCTGTTATTAATAAACTACAACTGGAGAAATGTGAACGTTTGTATGCTTTTTTAAAAGGCGTGAGTCAAGATTGTTTTTGTGCTGTGTTGTGTCTCTAGCAATAAAAAGCAGACTTGAAATGGTTAATAATTACACCTCAGACAAAGAGTTTATTACCGTCGCTGTTGATTAATGGCCGTTAAAGATGTCTATAATGCATTACTGAATTGGATGTAATCTTGCTTTCTCCTTTACCATATTTTCATACTTTTTATTTAGTTTGTTATACATCCAATACTTGTTACTTTCCAAGTGGCACAAATATTGACCTGTGTCTTAAATTTTTTTGGAATTGTTAAACTTTGAAATATTATGATGATCATGAGGACTACATTAAGAACAGTTCATTCAGATTCCTTTTATTTACCATGTGCTGCAGGTTGTTACCTGGGGGCAACAGTGGCTCAATTGGTAGAGCATTGATGTGGGTTCCATCCCACCTGCTCCCACTGATGTCTGCTGTCGTTGTGCCCTTGGGCAAGACACTTTGCCTTAGGTCCCCGCTGAAAGATCAAGGCTGTATCTGCGTTGAAGGAGCAGCCATCCTCCTGTGGACTCACCACCTGCAGAAGGGTCAGCTATGGACTGGTGCTTTGTGAATTGGGTGGCAGCTCTGATTGCCATCCCCTTGACCCAGAAATGGATAATAAAGGGATGAAAATGAATGAATGGTTGCTACCCATATCTGTGAACCTCCTGAATGTAGGCCATCGAGGAGACCGGCGATGGTTTATGTGGGGTTTTTTTTATGTCTGTCTAATGTGTATTTTCAGTGTAGCAGCCTGTGAGTCCAAGACAAATTTCCTACGGGAGTTATTAAATTAATCATGAATCTTGAATCTTATTAGACAGATTAGATGTGAGAACGTGAGTGTGAATGAGTGAAAGTGTGTGTTGGGATGGATAAAACCTTTATTTTGGTGTTTACTTTTGCTTTTCGTTTTGTTTACAAGAAATAAAGAAACTGCATCCACTACTTTGACTTTTACTATTGCTGAAATGTCAACAACTTCAAAAATAGTTATGTGTACTTGAACATGATTAATGGGACCCCGCAACCACACAATTACAACCACAGACTACGATTGCTTCCCATTATGACATTATGGTGTATAAGATTTACCAAAGTTAGATTTATTCAAGTTAGCTCATGGGTCAGCTTGTACGTACCCTTGTTTTACCAGCCCCATAACAATAGCTGAGGTAATGTTAGAAGAACTCCTAATATGGCTGAGTGCACTTCTTCAGAGGGATCTGCAACGTGATCCTCTCACTCTTCTCCAAAACTAACATTACGCCATCGCTGGAGAATTAGCAGCTCTCCCATGCTTCAGACTGAGAGCTCGGCCTTATCTGAGTCGGAAACACCCATGTGAAATGCCTAATCATTCCTCACCACTCCCATAGACCAGAGTCATCTTTATGGTCAAAATCTAGTCGGTGTTCTCAGTCAACCGGTGGAAAGATTAAAACAGTGCATTATATGGAGAAAAATGACCAATGGTTGAAAATATATACGTATCTTACTTACTTACTTTCAAAATATTTGCTTCTTACACATGGTCCAACTAGAAAAATATGTTTTGAATAGTTAGATTTATAGTCCCCCGAGTTAGAACTGTTATAATTTCTTTAGTCAGACTCAAGGTTCCACACTAAATGAAAAGAAAAAATAGATAAATATGAAAAATGTTGGTAAATGTTTGTGGGAAGCACCAGCTCTGTGTGGTGAGCTCATGCAGCTTTAGTGCCAAAAGTGTTAACATGCACTTAAAAAAAAGGAAAAAGACAAAAGTTTTACACTGACAGAGCTGCATTTTGTGAAGAAAGTATGGGAGGAAAAGTTCATTTACACAAAGGGAGATTCACTGTTTATTATCAAGTTTGGTTTATTATGAATTTTCTAAATACGTAATCTCAGAGTTTAATGACTTTCCAACACTGTCTATTGTTGACCAAGCTGATGATTTATGACAAAAACTCAATTTGGGATTAAAAATTGACCCCAATCTTTGTTAATGTTGTTTGAAGGAGATAGTTGGTCGAGCAGCGATTGTACTTGGTGAACATTTAAAGCTCGGACACCCAACTTTCAAAACACAAAAAATGGAACAATGTAACAAAATTCTTCTAACTAGTTCCTTGGTCTCAAAATAGTTTGGTTATATCGCTGTCAAGTAATTAAATCAGCTTTTTTTCCAGGAAGAAAAGGCCCCACCCTCACTCAGCCAACCAGCTCTCAGCCCAAAGCGTCAAAAAGTGACTCAGAGGCCTAGTATGCAAGATTTATAAGGTTTTTAATTTAGAAGCAAAGAATGTGATATGTGCAAACAAAAAGATAGGTACCCCAGCTTTAATAAGACACCCCAGAAATAAAGTGTTTTACATTAGTGAGTAACAATGCTGTTGCTGTAGTTTTGAACAACACTATTTGTTTAAGTGCAGATTTATACGACTTCTTTCACCTGTTTGCACTCAGCTTCACTGGCCCCTCCCCCACGCTGCAGTATCGGAGCAGTTCATTGGCCGTCCGCCTGCTCCTGCAATCCATCGAAAGTGTAAAAAGTGTGCTGCAGATAACTACTATGTGGCTACAATGATTCCCTTTGTTCAGTTACTCCAGTGTTTGCATTGCCCCTCCGGCTCTTTCCATGTTCTGCACACGGTGACACGCTTCACTGGTCCACGGTGAGAGAAAGCCTTGGAAATAGTCGGAGAAAGTTGTTTACTCTAGGACAACATTTCCCTTTCAATATCGCTATGTGGAGAGTGTGTTGCATCTTTCTTTTTGACGCCCACTCACAAACCAGACACACAATCCTCCCCCTCTCTCACATGTCGTCAAAACATGCTTTGTAATTGAAATATTATAACTTTTCTCTTTTCCCTTGGGAGTTGTGAACCATTGTCCAGAGTGTGACGACATCCTTGCTCTTACGTAACACATTTCCAGTCGTTCCCAGAGTGTGTTGTTGCCTTGACAACCGAACAAACACCGGAATGAGTTGCTGGGACAAACCTGCGCAATATATATACTTTTTTTGTTATTTAAATATTACACAAACAAATACCAGGACAATGTATTAAGTGTTCACAAGCAGTTTTCTTTTTTATTCCCGACATAGCACTTTGCACTTTCATTTTCAAACATTTCTGGTCCTTTTTTGTCCGTTCTATCATCTCGTGTGTCACGTAACAGCTTTTTCGTTGGGATCTCTCTGCGGTGTGTCGTTGTGTGTCTTGAGAACAGCCTGTCCTGCCATGTGCCTGTCTTAACTGGAAGAGCGCACAGTTGTGGTGGTAACTGTGGTCTTTCCTCCTGTCAAACGAAAGAATAAAAAAGTTATGTATATACTATTACCATCATACTGTGACTTTACACTTGGGCTTTTCTCTTACCTCCCATGGGTCTGGACTCCTCCGTCTCCAGCAGGCTCCTGTAGGTGGCGATCTCCTGTTCCAACCTTGTCTTGATGTCCAGCAGCATCCTGTACTCCTGCCCTTGAGTTTCAATGCTTCCACGGACGTTGGCGAGCTCTGACTCTAGCATGTTGATGGTGTTCTGATAACCGGACAGCATGGAGCTATACCGGGCCTCTGTTTCTCCCAACGTGTTCTCCAACGCTCCTTTCTGTCACGACAAAGACACAAGATTCATTGTTTGCGCATGCAGACATGAGTTAAGCTTTAGGTCTATTGTGCGATCTGGACTTTGTATGTCTACCACGCCCTGGATTATTAGTCTGCGAAATTTGTCGGAAGTTTGTTTTATATATTCAGCGTTTGCTCAGGGCTATTGAATCACAATTTAAAGCTGGGGTACCTAACTTTTTTCTTCCATAATGAATGAATGAATGTTTTTTTTCCCAACAGAAAGAGTAAAAGTAAAAAAAAAACATGTTGTATCTTGCTTACTCATACAAGTTTTGGACTGAGAGCTGATGGTCCAGTCAGGGTGGTCCAGTTTTTTTTCGGTTTCTCTCTGAAAAAGCTGGTCTAAAGATGTGAAAGAGGCCTAAAATATGCGCATGTGAAAACTACTGATATAGAATATGAACTAGTTATATGGAGTTCATTACAGCAAATATTCTGTGATTTAAAAATTAGGTAGACTAGCTTTGAATAGACGGTGGAACGATAATCTACTACAAAATGAATCCTGAAAGCTGAATTTGACTTGGTCTTATCTCTTTAGGTTACTGTGTCACCCATGTGTCAATGAACTCCATTTGTATATGGCAACAAAAGTGATATTTTGTTAAAAGCTTGAGATAAAACTGTTTTGGCAACCAGATAGCGATGAATGTGGAGCTCCATCTGGTCTGCATAATCTGGGGGGATTTGACACTGTGCAGTCCAGCATTCCTTCACCACTCCTGCTCTTTTATGTCTGTCTGAATCTGTGTGCGATTGTGTGTGTGTATGTGTGTGTGTGTGTGTGTGTGTATGCCTGTCTTTTTCGTTCAATCTTCCCTCCTCGCTTGCCAAACCTCCCCTTCTCTTTTAACCCTGGACAATTTCTGTGTTTCTCTGGACATGACAAATGGACTGGGGTTTGCTCATATAAGGCAATATCAGCGCTGCCGCATGTAGGGGACTGGTGGAGGTCTCACCATGCTCAGCTGAGACTGCAGCTCAATCTCCAGCCCTTGCAAAGTGCGTCGTAGGTCGTTGATCTCTGTCTTTGTCGTCTGGATTACTTCTGTGCTGACGGCCACTTCCTTTGACAGGTTTGCAGACTGTAGAGAGGGAGAAGAACAAAAGCGTATTGAATAAACACATATCGGGATTATGTTTAATTACATGTCTAGTGGAGCACAGGATGCTTTCATAAAACCAGTTCTTAGCTGTGTTTGCTTGCTTTTGGGAGTATCTGCTTTCTTCACCTTTTCATTAAACCAGGCCTCTTGGTCGCGACGATGTTTGTCTGTGATGTTTTCGTATTGGGCGCGGATCTCCTCCAGGACTTTGTTGAGGTCTTGCTGGGGCGCTGCATCCACCTCCACATTGATTGTGCCGGTGAGCTGAGAACGAAGGGCGGCCAGTTCCTGCAAAACCAAAGCAATGAACGAGCCGTTAGAATAGAGTGACGCAAGAGGCTGTACTTGTGAGTGGAAGACGGTGATTTTACCTCTGCGTGGTTCTTTTTGAGGTAGGCCAGCTCATCCTGCAAGCCCTCGATCTGCATCTCCAGATCTGCCTTGGTGAGAGTGGTCTGGTCCAGGAGACGGCGCAGGTTGGCAATGTCGGCCTCAACTGACTGCCGCATCATCAGCTCGTGCTCGAATCTATGGACAAAGAGTTAAGGTTAAGTCCAAGATTTAGGGGTTAATGTGGTGTGTTACTGATCAAAACATACTTGGTCCTGAAGTCATCTGCAGCCAGTTTGGAGTTGTCAATCTGGAGGAGGATGTTGGCATTTCCGATGGTTGCCCCGGCAATCTGAAACCACAAACCATCTGAAGTTACTCTCAAAACAATGCTTTCACAAACTTGTTTCTGTTTTGAAAGCAGAAGATTAGTTCAAGCACATTAATCATTACATAACTTTGAGTCTGAACTGAATGGCTCGTATACGTCTGCACTTTCTCTGCTAATGATTAACAGCTTTGCAAACAATCGACGACGAATCGATGAAGCCAGTGCATGCCTTACCTTGTCTTTGAGGTCGTTGATGATGGCCCAGTATTTGCTGTAGTCCCTCTCCGCTGCTGGTCCCTTCTGCTCGTAGTACTCTCTGATCTGCAGCTCCAGCTTGGTATTGGCCGCTTCCAAAGACCTCACTTTGTCCAGGTAGCTGGCCAGACGGTCGTTCAGATTCTGCATAGTAGCCTTCTCGTTCAGATGGATGCTGCTCTGATCCACGGCATTGGACAGGTCGAAACCACCCATGCCTCCACCATAGCCAGAACCAGAGCCCATACCGCCGCCATAACCAGAACCAGAGCCCATACCGCCGCCATAACCAGAAGACACAGAGTACATCTGGCTGGAGGAGATGCGAGGAGATGTCCTGAATCCTGAGACGCTGTGAGCCTTGGGGGCAGATGTGTAAGACATGCGGCTGCTGGAGCGCATCACTGGACCGGTGCTGCTGGTGATGCTGCGGGAGTACATGTTTGGGCTGTTTTTTAGGTCACACGAGAGACAGAAAAGGACCAGCTGTGGCAGGACAGTGGAGCTGGATAGAGAGAGGCTTGGTGCTCATATAGCGCTGGTCCAGGGCAGGGCCTGGGCAGGCTGGGAGGAGGAGGTTGGACAGGGGAAGGAAAAGAGGGAGGTTTCCTTTGCTGCAGGCTTGGCCGAATCTCACCATGTTTTTTCAGGATAAGGGGCTATTTCTTTCCATTTGGTTAAGAAACACTGTGTCGTCCATTGTGTGGGGCACTGTTACCATCCTGTTTAAGTATTCAACTTTTCCATAATGCTGAAGGGTTGCTTTGATTGTCATTGGGACATTTACTTTGACCCATTTAGAGGATTGGAGTCATGCATTTGTATCAAGCACATGCACTCAGTTTACCTCTAACTTAAAGTTGGGGTATCTAACTTTTAAACCACACATGTTTTTTTCCCCAACAGAGTCACGTAAAAGTAAACATTTGTGAACAACTTTGACCATAGCATTTTTTTGTCCTCTTATTTGGAAAACATGTTATCTTCTGCATACTTTTATCTGCAGTTATATTGTATATTTTATCTCACTTATCGTACAAGTAAGAAAGAGTCCTGTGAAAGTTAAGCTAAATGGCAATAGAGAGCTGGGAACATGATGGATTTTTAAAACATATGATAGGTACATTTTTGGTGGTTCGAAAGTAACATACCCCAGCATTAAATAGTTAAGTTTGTTCTTCTTGTTGTACTGTGAATGTAGTGCCACATGATATTTTTCTGGATGTTTGTTTTATATGTATTTTAAGGTGACAATCAAAGACAATTTTCCACCTTGGTTACCAATAAAGTTTTTGTATGTGTATTCGTATCCAACACACAGAAAACATTGAATTCATTGATAGTCTGTCTTCTGCTCTCATATAAGCTGATTGTTTCTCATTTCTCATCGCACTATTGCAAACAGGAGAAGGCGGGGACGTTTGCAGTTCATGTGATCCTCCATAGGTCAACACGGAAAGTCCATATCAAACAATATAATTTGCCTGCCAACTCCAGCATTAGATCTGATGCGAGAGCCGTTATTGCGGTGAAAACCTTCGCGTTGCCTTGACCATATTGTTCCGAGCCAAGCGTTGTGTGTCAGGCCCATTGTTCGCCATATCACACACAACATCCCCTCAGTCCCTGATATCCTGTATGAGATCAGGGAACAGCCTTCAGGGAGTGTGTGTGGGGTTTCCTTGTGCCGCTCTGCTCTGGTCTCTGCTGAATAACATCTGGAGTGTGCTTAGAGGGGGGCAGCATTCGAAGGGGGGGCGCCAGGGTCAATTCTCAGTCAGTGGGAGAACTGAATCATCCCTCTTATGAGATGTGTATTTAAAGGGCTCAATGGGGTTTTGGTGCATTACATAACTTAAGTCACAGAAATATATAAGTTCTTGTTGAGTGACAGTGAGCATCTGGGAGCATGGGTTTGCAAGTGGAGTGCATGCATACGCTTCTACTCTGCAAAAAAGTCAGCCGGCTAAGCAATAATAATAATAATAATACATCAAACCTGTATAGCACTTTTTTGGACACACAAAGACGCTTTACAAAACACATAAAAACAAACATTGAAGAACAAAATGAAGGAAAGGCTAGCTGAAACAGGTGGGTTTTGAGAAGTGATTGAAAGTTCTGTAGTGAATCTGAGTTTCTGGTGGGTTGTGGGAGTGAGTTTCAGAGAGCGGGGGCTGCTGCAGCGAAGGCAATATCAAAATCAAACTATAAAAACAGTGCGTAATATACTACAGGGTGCAAAGCTCAATAACTCACATCAGACAGACGTCCATTCTTTGGCTCCTCTGTTTTTGTTTGTTTGACTTTCAATGCAATTCAATTACATTATTTTTGTATGGCCCTAAATTTCAACAGCAGTCACCTTGGAGGACTTTGCAAAGTTGTCGATTTTCCAACATCAGATGCAAAAATTAAACAGTTTGAACACAGAAAATGCAATAATCGCAGATGCATATTGGACCATAGGCCAGCGGGATGATCAATGTTCATACATTTTAATGTTAATCCTGATCCATGCTTTCATATCCTCCAGACTCAACTTCTGCAACAGTCTTTCATATGGCCTTCCTTAATCTGATCTCCAAAAACTGCAATACGTCAAAAACTCTGCCGCCCGCCTCCTCACTCAGACCCGCTCCAGAGAACACATCACCCCTGTCCTTCAAAAACTCCACTGGCTCCCCGTTAAACAGCGCATCCATTTCTAAATCCTCCTCATCACCTACAAAGCCCTCCATGACCTCGCTCCTCCATACCTCACTGAACTTCTACAGCCCTACAGTCCCTCCCGTCGAGTCCAATCTGCAGGCTTTCATCTCCTCACTCCCACAGTCAAATCCAAGCACCGAACCTTGGGGGACCGAGCTTTCGCCATCTCTGCTCCCACTCTCTGGAACTCTCGCCCCCCTCATGTCAGAAACTCGGACTCAATAAACTCCATCAAAAAACATCTAAAAACTCACCTCTTCCTCCAAGCATATGACTCGTAGTTTCAGCTTTGTACTCTTCTTTCCTGCTTTTAGATTTTTAGTTTTGTGTGTCAGTCTAATTGTGTGTGTGTGTGTGTGTGTGTGTGTGTGTATGTGTGTCCTGAACTGTGAAGCATCTTTGAGTTTTTGAAAAGCGCTATATGAAAATGATGTATTATTATTACTAATTAATAAATAAATAGTAATAAATACCAGACTTCATGACAGTCATTTTCAACATTTGTACTTAGGGACATTTCCGAAACCCGCCTCATCCAGTGCAACAGAAAGCAGCTGCTTGTGATATCGCCTAGAAAGTCATTCTAATTAACTATAAAAAAAAAAAGAAGTAAAAAAAAAAAGCACCTCTGTGGATTGTAGCCTCACACTCACAAACACCCTGAACACGTTTGTCCACTTTAGTATATTTCCATGATGAAAAAAGTTTGAACAAACCATTAAAGTTGACCATTGGAACCCTGAAAACCAAGACTTGCAAGGAAGAGCAGTTGTACAGTTTGTAAACATACAAATAATTATACTGGTGGGGGGTCCAGAATTGAAATGTTAATATATTACTTTTTTCTGGCATCAGTAGGAGTAGGATTCAAGCCAAGGCAAGTTTATTTGCACAGGCTTCAGTACTTAAACTTGTCAACACCCACAATGTAATAACAAGGATAAGATATGGCTCTCAGAACAAAAGCTGCAGAGGGAAGTGGGAAAGTCCACTGGGTTCGGACTGGAAGTACGGACAACACATTCATACAGTGAGATCAATCTATGTCACTCTCACCCACAAAGACATTATTTTCATGGTACAGCTCTCACACAAAGAAACATCTTCCAAAGCCAGAGTAGGATGTAGAGTAGGATGTAGAGTCGATAGTTTAGACTGGGAGAACGCCAGACTTTAGCTAGGGACAAGTTTCCATCTATTGTCCCAAGAGGTTAGCGTCGCAAAGAGCTACATCAGTGTTTCCTAATATGGGGTCCCCTGGGTGGCCTCTGAGACTCCTCATGAGGGCCTCCAAAGGTTGTCTACACAGCTTATAATTCTTAGTTAAAATATTACATGAATTCTGCCACCTTTAATTAAATAGATAGCAAATAAGTCATCTTTGTGTTTCTTCAATTGAAAGAACAAACACAATTTTTATGATTTTGTGATTTTTTTATTTAGTGTGAGGGACGAGTTGGCAAAAATAAAATACAAAAATAAAAATAGTCATTAAAACCACTAAAAGGGCACGATTCTCCGAAGGCTGCTTCACCACAACAAGGCAAGGCAAGGCAAGGCAAGGCAAGGCAAGTTTATTTATATAGCACAATTCATACACAAGGCAATTCAAAGTGCTGAACAAAACAAGAAAGCATTAAAATCATAAATTATCACAGAACATTAAAAAGAAAGATAAAAATTTAAAATCCCTCAGTTGTATGCACAGTTAAACAGAACTGTCTTTAACCTGGTTTTAAACATTGTCAGAGAGGAGGCCTGTCTCACATCTTCAGGAAGACTGTTCCAGATTTTAGCAGCATGAATCTGAAAAGCAGCCTCCCCATGTTTAGTTCTGACTCTGGGCACTAACAGGAGTCCAGTCCCTGTGCTCCTCAGAGTCCGGGCTGGTTCATATGGGACACAACAGTGCACAGACCTTGTAAAAAAAATACTAATGGTGAAATATGTGGTCAGAGTATTACAGTCCACATTATTTTACTACTACCACTATAAACCAAACCAGAAAAAATCAGAACATTCGCTGCGGAGAAAACCATTCAATGCCATTCACAGTGGAACATCATTGTCAATAAAACCACATTTCCATAAAATCCATCAGCAGTAGTCGTCCAGGTCAAGTCGAATATAACAATCAGAGTCATTGAAACATTTAGTGTAATTACTATTATGACTCTGGTTTACTGATTTCCCACATTTAGAAAAGGGACTGCAAAACTGACAAGGCTTGCGAGTATCTGGGACTTTTTCGGTTTTAGTATTGCAGTTTAGATTCCAGGTTTATTTCAGAACATTGCAGCCTGGTGATGTTTGTTAGCACCTTCTCTGGAAAAGGAGGAAAAGGGCAGGGCCATAAATACCTTTCAGATTGAGTAAACTCTGTGCATTAACGGCAGGTGACAAATGATCAACAAGTCCCTGCAAAGAGGTGAGTTCACGTCTGTGAGCTGCAGCCGTGTGACTAACTGTCGGCAAGATAAACATAGACAATGACTGTTGATTTTATTGTAAGACACAATCCATTCTTTATTATACAGTATTTTTAAGGATACCACTGGTTAGGCAAATTCACAACAACAAAAAACAGTAACAAAGCATCAGACTTTTCCACCCGTACATTTTCTTCTGCTTTATCTGTTGCCGGGTCACGGGGGAAGCAGTCTTAGCAGAGACTTCCCTATCCACACACACTTCCTCCAGTTCATCCGGGGCAATCCTGAGGTGTTCCC